CTCCTGGCGCGGCTCTGCAGGTGCTGGCTCCTCCAGGTCTGGGTGCTCCAGGGCATAAGCTGCTAGGTGCCTATCAATCAGGGTCAAGGCTTCCCTCCTTACAGCTGCCCTTTCTCTTCTCCTTCCAGCTCTCCCCTCTGGCGAAGGAGCCTTTTCTGATGAAGGAAATGAGACCTCCTCACTCTGCAACCTCTCCTCTGCCTTCCGGATGCTCCCTGGTGCATCCCTGAGTCTCAAGCCCACTGCTGGCGTCTGTGGGGGCGTGTCCTCTCCAACCTCTATCACTTCCTTCCCTGCACGTCTCCCCACATCGCCCAATCGTCTCTCCCTCTGAGTATCGTGGACCTCCTCACGTGGCACCTCCTCTTGTGGCACCTCCTCTGCCTGCTCTCCATGCTCCTCACCCTGAGGCGACGCTCTCCACTGAGAGATATCCAGTTACGTCTCCAACTCCCTCAAAGGCCCCTCGGACACTGGCGGCTCCTCCTGTGTGTGTGCTAGCGACCTCCTCAATCCACCCTCAGTAAAACGATGGAACTCCACTGGTCCCCACCCACACTCAGGGTATGCCCCTCGCTCCTCAACCTCTGGCTCCTGCTCCGACTCCTCCTCTCTCCTGGCTAGGGCCTTCCGTCCTCCTCGAGACGGTCTCGCCTCCCTGGGCTCAGGGTCCCTCAGCCTCTGACTCCTCTGACGCCTCTCGACTCTGGGCTGGGGGGGCTCTTGCCGTCGAAAGGCCTCTCTCGGATGTGCCTTGCAGCTCTCCCAGTCCCGGGCCATGTCTCTGATTTGGCTAGCCAGCGGTCTTTCCGCCTTCTTGGTCCCGAGTGGTAGCGTCTGCATCCAATCATCTCTCGGTATGCCCTGCCCCTGCATGAACCGCTCAAACGCGGGGATGAAGTCTGACGTATTTCCAATCTCCAGGTGGATCGGCCTGCCATCTGGTCCCACGGGCGAGGGTCGCAACTCCTCCATCCTCATCTCCACCTCTTGCCTCGTCGTCGCCTCTCTACGGATCCGCGCGACGGGCTCCTCGAATCTGCCGACTCCCCTCAGTCTCTCGATTGCCTGGGCCACAGTCCAGCCCATACGCCTCGCATGATCCCAAAAGCTGTCCAGGAATAGCTCGATGTCCCCATCATCGTATACCGGAGTACTCTCTCGATGGCGAGGCCCATGTCGCTCATATCCTCCTGATGCTCCCAACGGCCTTCGAGGCGGCCGTGTCCCCCTCCCTCCTCTTGGCATGGCTGTCTTCGTAAAGTCAGACCTGCACAACAGGCGAAGGAGACAACAGACACACATTGGGGTAAGCAAACAGGTGATAATCAAGCAAACTCAGACCAGACCACACTCATACAGCATGCATCCTACCTAACCTACACACCCTGCT